AGTGTTGCCCTTATAGATTAAGCGAAGATCTCCATGGTTTTTAGAATGTAATTTGTTTGAGTTACAGGTAATGAAATGGGGGATGATTCATCGATAAATTTGGACAACTTGAGGGCTAATTGGACTCCATCTCAAGACCGATATTTTCTTGAGCTATTGCTGTCCCATGTTCATAGAGGCAACAAAACAGGGAAAGTGTTTACCAGATTAGCCTGGGTTGACATGACTGAACAATTTAATAACAAATTTGGGTTCAAGTATGATATAGATGTGCTGAAGAATCGTTACAAGCGATTCAAGAAACAATACTATGAAATAAAAGCAATGGTTAATCAAAATGGATTCCAATGGGACGGGACACTAAACATGGTCACCCGCCAATGATAAAACATGGGAAGAGTATATTAAGGTACACACTGTCGTCAAATATTTCAAAACCGCTAAGAAACCTTTACGTTACAATTCTCATGTTATTATGCTGCAGGCCCACCCTGATGCTCATGTTTTCAGAAAAAAAGTTGCTCCGTGTTATAATGATCTATGCATAATCTATGGTCACGCAGTTGCTGATGGGAGATACAGTCTTTCATGTTTTGACGAAGGTTTTGAATATGAAGGTAAAAACAAATGAATGGTTCATTAAATATTATTGTATAATGAAATTCCATGTAATCATTATTCACCAAATTTGTTCATAATGTTTGAATGGTTTTAACTTTTACTCAGAAAATGCCTCGAAAGAACGAGATGACCACACTAGCACTGGTAAAGGAGTGGATGATCCGACTCCTCTTACTCATAGTCAAAGTAAAATAGACTGGTCTCCAATGATGGACCGAGTTTTTGTTGAACTTATGTTGGACCAGGTGCGTAAAGGGAACAAGGTTGGCCGTACATTCACGAGGCAAACATGGGGAGACATGGCCGAGTCATTTAATGATAGGTTTGGATGTCACTATGGTAAGGTTGTGTTGAAAAACCGTTTCAATGTCCTAAGGAGGCATTATTCATCTATAAATGTCCTCCTCGGCAAAGAAGGTTTCAGTTGGGACAAGACCCAACACAAGGTTGTGGCTGATGACCAAGTTTGGCAAAAATGCATCAGGGTAGGAACTGTTGTCAATCTTTTTTATTTCTTTTTGTTAGTTTAGTTTTTATTTTCTACTTCAGTCACCTGCTCGTAATTGCAGGTAAATCACAAGTACCGGCTTTACAGAATTAAAAGCATGCCTTTTTATTCTGGCATGTGCATTGTATGTCGCGATGAAGCTCCTGCAAATTGCAAGTCAAATCTTGAAAAGAAATCTTATGGCGGCAAGAACTCTGTCCCAGGCCCTAATGCATCAATGCATATAGGCGGTGAAAATGATTTTACCGGAGATACTCAGCCTCTCCCTTACACAGCATTTCATACAGGTGATGAAAGTAATTTTACCAAAGATACGGAACCTCTCCCTGATGCAACATTCCATATAGGTGGCGAAAATAATTTGACTGGGGATACTTTTTCTCTGCCTCTCCCTTATGCGACATTGCATATAGACGGTGAAAATAATTTGATCAGAGATACTCAGCCACCCTCTACCCCAACCTTGAATCTTGGAAGTGGAAATAATTTTACCAGAGATACCATTATTCAGCCTTTTGATGATGCAGCATTGCATGTAGGTGGTGAAATTAGTTTTAGCAGAGATAACATTATGCAGCCTCTCCCTAATGAAGGATTGCATATCGGTGGTGAAAATAATTTTCCTCGAGATACTATTAGTCAGCCTCTCCATAATGCAACATTGCAAATAGGTGGTGAAAGTAACTTTACCGGAGGAGCTCAACCTCGTGCCAATGCAGATAATGAAGGCGGTGAAAGGAACTCTACCAGAAAAACTCAGCCTCTGACGAATGCAGATGATGAAGGTGGAAAAAGGAACTCTACCAGAAAAACTCAGCCTCCGACGAATGCATATAATGAAGGTGGTGAAAGAAACTCTACCAGAAAAACTCAGCCTCCGACGAATGCAGATAATGAAGGTGGTGAAAGGAACTCTACCAGAAAAACTCAGCCTCCAACAGTTGCAGATAAAGAAGACGGTGAAAGGAACTCTACCAGAAAAACTCAGTCTCCGACGAATGCAGATATTGAAGGTGGTGAAAGAAACTCTACCAGAAAAACTCAGCCTCCGACGAATGCAGATAATGAAGGTGATGAAAGGAACTCTACCGGAAAAACTCAGCCTCCAACGATTGCAGATAAAGAAGACGGTGAAAGGAACTTTACCAGAAAAACTCAGCCTTCGAAAAATACAGATAAAGAACCATTGTTTGCAAGTGTTGGAAAAAACGTTACTAGCCAGAAAAAAAGACATCAAACGAAAACCTCCGCAGCCTTTAATGTGCCAAAGAAAGCAAGAAGCAACTATAACGAAGGCATGTCAGTTGCCTTGAAACATATGGCAGTTGCAGTTACATCACTAACCAAAAAAACTAAGAAAGAAGATAATTTTTCTGTAGGCAATGTTATGACGGTGCTTCAGGCTATACCGGACTTGGATGACGATCTGATATTAGATGCATGTGATTTTTTGGAAGATGAAAAAAGAGCAAGAATGTTTCTGGCGTTGGATTCGAATTTGAGAAAGAAATGGCTATTAAGAAAGCTTCGTTCATAATGATTGCTCAATTGTCTCTTCTTTGTTCATCTTTAGTCACTAGTCAAGTTTGTTTGTCAAATTCTGTTAATCTTCTTCTGTTCTAAAGACTTGTTTTTTTGTTCATCTTTTTGTTTATCATTAATACATTATGTTGGGAATCTCAACTAACTCTTGTTCAGAATCTACTTTGGTCCTTTTTAAAAAGGATACTTTAGTTGAGAATCTATTCACTCCCTTCTAGACTGCGATGACTTATCTAGAAGGGAGTGAGTAGATTCTCAACTAAAAATTACTTTTTAAAAATAGTTATTTAAAAATTTATTTGAAAAATAATATTAAGCGGAAGGTATTTTAGCCTAGATCAAAATAGTAGTCTAAATGAATCAAGTTATTAAAAACTCGGATATGCACAAGTTATATGAAATTAAGATAATGATAAAATCAATCAATATAATAATATCTCAATTAATAATTTAATATTAAATATAACAGTTTCATATTTCCAATGAAATTAATCAAAAATAGGGGTGTTTATGGTGCGGTTTGGGCGGGTTTGAAGCAAAAAATCACCCGAACCACAAGAGAAAAAAACATGCGGTTCGGTTTGGTTCGGTTGGCTTTTAAAAATAAATCGAAATCAAACCAAACCAAGCTAATGCGGTTTGGATTGGTTCAGTTGGTTCGGTTTTTTATAAAAAAAATTATTAAGCCATACATACAAATATAGAGAAAAATATAATTTTGCGTTTAATTGCTCATACATTACCATAAAAAAAATTATAATTGTCAAAATAAGTTTATAATTTATACATTAAATTGTGTATTATAATTTTATCTACATCTAAAGTATGATATAGACAAGATTGCATTCTTAAATAAATATTATACAAAAAATACGATAAAATATATTTTGTGAAAATAGTATTTATAAATGAATAATATTTTATTTTTTTATGATTTGTAAATTAATATAATACAAAGTATGATAAAGTATACACATAATACATGTTGATTTCTCTAAAGAATTAAAGAAATATATATTGGTTAGTAAGATATTATAACATAATGCGGTTTTGTTCGGTTTGGTTCGGTTTGTAAAATACAAACCGCAAACCAAATCGAACCGCGCAGTTTCATGAGAAAATGACCCAAACACATCTGAACCAAATGCGATTTTTTGCGGTTCCGGTTTGGTTTGGTTCGGTTTTGCGATTTTTTATTGGGCCGGTTTGGTTTTGAACACCCCTAATAAAAAATATATAACAATGCAATTTATCAAACACTTGGTGTGCGAACAAATTTTTAGAATTATTGAGTTTTATTGATGTGAAAAAGCACTTATAATCAAAGTGATTATAAGTTAACCAACAAACCATTTTAAACAAAAACAATCACAGAAAAATTCTTACGAGTCGATCGATTAAACAATGAAAAGCAAGCAGAGAGAGAGAGAGAGAGAGAGAGAGAGAGAGAGAAGAATTTGTTTAGGAAGTTTGCCAATCGTCCTCACTATGGCTACGTCTCCCCCAATTCCAATTTTAAAATTAGGGTAATTTCTTACTATGCAAAAAGTCGTTACAAGAGAAGTGTTCTAAGAGCAACCATACAATCCCTAACTGTTTGTTGTTGATTCAACCCCTTCTCTTCTTTTGATATTGAGAAAGACCAAGACACAATAACTACTAATTGATTTATCGAATCTTGCTACTACTTTGCATTCTTTATCTCCAAAGCTTTCGCGCACGATCAATTTTACCTATTTCACACAAGAAATTTCAATTCAATTCGCCGTTCTCGCGCTACTTCCTTTGTGTTCTTTATCTCTAAAGGCTTTCACTAGGATGTAATCCTATCTTGAATGTCTTGCACGAAAAATCTCAAATCTATCAACGATCTTGGAGGACAAACCCATGGATATTCTGAATGAAACCTCCTGCAAATCTCAACTCAATATTCTCGGCTACGCAAGAACCTAATTGGACGTTATCAAACCTCGCCTAGATGACACTTCGATAAAATATGATTATGTGTAATTTATCAGTGTGTATTCATAGGTTGGAGGTTGAAGATGAAAAGCAAATTCAGTATGTGTTTATAGTTTCATCAAGTTAGAATGAAGCATGTATGATGTATTTATAGTTGGGGGAAACTTTGGTGGCAAATAGGGAAACTTCAAAATTGAAAAAATATGAAAATTTTGACCCACATATTGTGGATGCATTTCTCTTATAGATGTTTTGTATGATGTCAAAACTAAGAATTGATTTAGATTTTTCTTATATTGAATGATATCTCTGAGTATTTGTGTGCACCATTGCATTAGAAGTTATTAGGAACCTTAAGAAGCATATAGAACAAGTTTGGTTTAGTTATCCATTGGTCTCATAAAGGAAAAACTAGTTTTTGCACAAAATTCATGTGCATGTGTCGATACATTCGTGCTTCGTGTCGACATATATGTTGGTGTTGTAAAGCAAATAAATCTCTATAAGTTTGTGTTGACTCATCCTACTGTTTGTGTCAACAGATGCCTTTAAACTACTCTATGTGTCGACACATACGAGCTTCTTGTCGACTCATGTGATGTTATTTTAAAGCCTAAAAGTCTCTGGAAGTTTGTGTCGACACATGTGCCTATTTTTGTCACGTATGTGTCAACACATCACTTGTACGTGTCAACACATCTTATACCAAAATTCATGTTAGTTCCATGGTTTTATGATTGGGTAAATTTTGGTAAAACATGATTCTATACTGATGTTGTGAAAGATGTTATAACATCTTCATCAACTGTCATAACAGTTTTTCTGTTATGTGCTTCAACAATATGTCGAAGATATATGTCATGGAATCTTGGTCTGTGTACAACAAGCGTTGTTATTGTATATCTCTTGACATATTTAATTTGATTTTATGAGATCCTTTTGGATATACCTCATCATTATGCGCAGCTCAAGGAGATTGTTTAGGAACAATGTGCAGATTTGATTTGTTTTATTAAAAATAATATTGGAGACTTTTTAGCAAATTGCTGTACCCCAAAATTTTCCCTCTCATATTTCTCAAAACATTTCAAGAAAGATCCACAAGTTGCTCAAGGTAGTCCAAGGGTTGGCCAGACAAGCTCTCTCCTAAGGCAGTCTACCTCAAATTAGGGTTTCATGTTGCATCAAGATACTTGAGTCCAAGGGATCTCAAATTCTCACCAATGTCTTAATGTAGATCATCCATGTCAAGTTTCAAGCCTTGTAGAGGAAGTTTACTCAGTCAATTGCTCAAAGGCCTGAAAATCGACTGTGCTTGGGAAAAAGTCAACTGTGGCCCACATACAGTCAGACTTCAAGATTTTTGGTCAACATCCTCATTTTTAAGTATATTTCATCATTTGATCAAGAGTTGATCATGATTCATCAAGGATTGCTCATAATTCATCAAGACTCAAAAGTTGCTAAATTAGGGTTTTGTAGGAAAAGTCAACTCAACTTTGACCAAGCATAACTTTCTCATACTTTATGAGAAATGACCCATCCAAATCTCATTTTGAAGAGGATGCAATTCCTTAAAATCCATCTTCAGCTCCCATGTTGTCAAAGCTTCATACATGAGCATGGAATGTCAAATTGAGATGAGATTAAAAGGGTTGCTTAGAGGACATCTCAATATTTCTAAAAAGTCCAAGAATACCTCCAAAGATTCAAAATTTAGGAAGTTGTGCATTGGTGAAGTTGACCCTTTTTGCAAAATTACCAAAAGTCAAATATCCCTAAAACTTCAAATTTTGCCAAATGGGCCCAATCTTTTTCACTTGTTTTGAGTTGGAAACATAGTCCACCAGCTATAGCCTTTGCCACTTGTCCATATCTTATTTTTATTATTTATTTTGATTTTTATTTGAATTAATTCAATTTAAATCAAAACAAATCAAATAAAATCCAAAATATTGAAAGTAAGAGATTTTGTGCTTGTTTCAGGTTCCAATCACAGCTAGCAAGTCATTCAAAATCGTATCAAGGCATGGTGTGAACAAAAGGGTTGAAATTGTCCAATTTTGAAAAGTTTTTAAAGTGAATCAAATTAAAGATCCAAATCATTGATGGAGGAAGATTGAATACAGCTTATCAACCCTAATACACTGCTTGGTACATATAGAGTGTGTGCAGACTCAAAAACAAGGTTAGAGACAGGCGCATGAACAAGAACAAAAACTGGAAAAAAATCAAGAAAAGTGGTGAATCAAATTTGCACTTAGAGGCATCCTCAAGACTCTTTGCCTATCCCAATCGATTCCTGGGAGTGTCAGCAAGCTAAAGCAATCAAGAACAAGGCCATTCCAGTCCCAAAAAGCTCTGTAAGTACCTCGTGATACCCTTGAATTTTTGAAATCGGCTAACACGATTTAGGCATTGTTAACATGAATTAGTCACATATTCTTGATCTATGAGACATATGCAAGCTTGCTGTATGATTTAATTGCATTTATATAGCCTATACAAGATTTCACCATGGCTAGGTTTCGAAGCTTCGAATTAGGTTTTTTGTCTACAGGTGAAATTGGCCTTGATAAAAGGTACCATCGTGTTCAGAAGGATGAGACGGTTCTAACCATGGCCTTGGTGGTCATTTATATCACGTGTACGTGATTTTGAGAATTGGCAGGGCTGTAGCGACGGACATTGTCCGTAGGTATAGGTCCCCAAACTTTTAGCTACAGAGAGAGGAAGAAGACGAATACATGGCCAACCATCATTCGCTCGTTTGAAAATTCGCGCCAAGATCTGTGTATTTCGCTTGTTTATTTTATAATATTTCTTGTTTATATTACATACAACAAAAAACAGATGGCGTAGTGGTAGCCAGGTAAGCGCTTAAGGCATTAGGAGGCTTGAGGTCAGGGGTTCGACCCCTGCCTCCAGCATTTGTTCTTTTCTTATTTCCTTTCAGGCAATCCAGTGCGTATACAAAGCTAGGAGACTACCATGCTCCCTCATCATCAATCATGCCAAGTGTCCTGAGGCCAG